GCCCGTCCTGGCACAAGCTACTCAAACTCCATCAAAATCGGTACAAGCTGCCCTGGTAACCAGGAGGAAGAGAAAGAAGTCAGATCGTTCCCCTGTTGCTTATGACAAGGACCATCTCAAGCCAGATAGCTTGGGAGAGAGTTTGGAGGAAGATCCAGGAGAAGGCCCTTTTAGACTAGATCCAGGAGAGGGTCCTTCAAGACCAGACAAAGGAAAGAGACCTTTTAAAACAAAGGCGAGAGTCCTTCTAGAGCAGATCCTGGAGAGGGTCCTTCTCAAGCAGTCTCACCACAGGAGGATTCAGATGTAGAGGTAGTTGTTAAATCCTTCTCTATGAACGATCTGAGAAATATTAGGAAGGACTTTAGTCGTCACGAAGGTGAAACACTTATCTCCTGGTTGCTCCGATGCTGGGATAGTGGGGCAGATACCATAGACTTAGACGGCAGAGAAGCTAGGCAATTGGGAAACCTGGCCAAGGATTCGATGGCCTGGCACATTAGAGCCACAAAAGTATAAAGCCCTGGTGGACACTGGTGCACAGTGTACCCTATTGCCATCGAATCATGAAGGGGCAGAGACTGTCACCATGTCTGGAGTGACAGGCGGATCTCAAGTATTGACTGTATTAGAGGCCGAAGTGAGCCTAACTGGGAACAAATGGGAAAAACACCCCATTGTTACTGGTCCAGATGCTCCGTGCATCCTTGGCATAGACTACCTCAGGAGAGGGTATTTTGAAGACCCAAAAGGGTATTGGTGGGCTTTTGGTATAGCAGCTGTAGAGACTGAGGATGTTACACAGCTGTCTACCTTACCCGGTCTTTCAGATGACCCTTCTGTTGTGGGACTGCTGAGGGTTGAAGATCAGCAGGTGCCAATTGCTACTGCCATGGTGCATCGACGACAGTACCGCACCAACCGAGACTCCCTGATTCCCATCCATAACCTGATTCGACGGCTAGAAAGCCAAGGAGTAAGACTTGCTCACCCTTTAACAGCCCTATAGTTTAATTTAATAGCTATTTAATTTAATAGCTATTAAATATTAAAGCCCAAATATAGATGCCGCACAATTTAGCAGGGCAAAAGCACAATCCAGAGCCCAGACAGGGAAAAGAGGAAAATCAGACTCCCTTATCAGTTCAATTATAAGTGGTAACAGTCAAGCAGATCCTGACAGGGACATCTCCTGGTGAAGGTGCCATCTGGAGGCCAGTTACTGGTGTGTATCACATACAGAAAAATAACTGCTAAAGAAACAGTAAGTTTGGGGGTTATTTTATAAAAAATAGGTGATTTTTACAAATGCAAGGCTACATGATCCCCTAAGAACGAGCATGCTTGCTAGAAGGTCACAAGTGTGCCATCCAACAGCAAGAAGAGTAAGGCAGAAAGCTGCAGACGTACAGTAAGAAGTCCAAAATGTTTTACTAGTGCAAATAGGTAGACAATAGAAGGGAAATCTTCTTCCACGCAGGCCACTTCAGGTGACAGGTGAAGCTTACACAATCCAGAGGGATATAAATACCTAATCCTCACTGATACCATTATGCTCAACTACCTTTGTAGCTTGGAGATCATTCCTCCACCAGTTCCTCCTACCAATATGCACAGCTTCTCCCTTACCAGAGCAAAATTTCTCTCTAGAGATCATTGACTACAATCTGAGGTAGATAAATCCACAACCAATTAATATATATATAGCTTATTTTGGAACGACAGCACTCATTTAAATCTCTGTGAAAGATAAAACTCTCTTACCAGTTCTCGTTTTACTTCTTCACTTGTGCAAGGGAAGGATTCTAAGGAGAGAAAATGGCATAAAAATCAATATTTCAGCTGGAAAGACAGAGCCCCTGCATCATTGCAAGAGTCTAATGATGTGCTACAGGGGAATTTGGGGATAGTGAAATCCTAGTATCAGTTTGGTTTGGGCAATCACATATTTTTCAAAAGTCTGGTATGGTCTAAAGTCTAAAACCACCCTATTTTCAGCAGTTTTCTACAACTACCAATCGAGGAACTGGATTTTAAACACAACCGTGCATGAATTTTCCAAATCACAATAAGCTTGCAAGGATAAACCTTCCTCCCTCCTTCTGCCTGCACCAGAAGCGAGGCATCGGGGCTCTCTCCGTCTCCACTGACAGCAAGATGGGATGGAGGGGGGAATTGGAGAACCTAATCCAATTTGAACGTCCTGTTTTGCTTGAGGAAAGGAGGCAGCTGCCTCTTGGAGTAAGATGGATTTAAAAGAGAAGCAGTTTCACCATCCTTTTCTTCTAGGAGGGAAACAGCAGTAGTTGTATGAGGGAGATGTGTTGAGAGGCAGGAACTCGACGGAGGGGCTAAGGAGGTGAAGAGAGAAGTGTGGCCCAGCGGACAGGTCCCCAGTTCATAATACAAGAGACGCTATTAATCAGAGTTCCTAGGTGATTTTGGACAAGTGTCTTTGTTTCTCTGGACCTTTGTGCCCCATTTATAAGAACTGGAATAAATCTTTTTTACCTCTTACACAGAATGGTCTGAGGTTAGCTCTGTTAAAGGCTGTGGGGTGCGCAGATGAGGAGGTAACAGGATCCATATCAGGTAACTCAAATACAAAACTGTAAACTAGACAGTTACAATTGTACTTAATAAAACCGAAACCCATTCAACTATTCACACTCCAGTTTTGGCTACTTCTCCTCTGAATGACAAAGAGAAAAGTCCTTAATACTTATCTGCAAAAGCAATGACAATCTTCCAAAGGAGAATGGAAATACTTGGGTTTAGTAGTCCCAAATATCACAGGTAGTGATGTACAGACATCACACAAAGACAAGGCTTTCTGTTTCATGGGCTAAAGCCCTGTTTACCCATGACTTCTTTAAGCCACTATAAAGTTGTTCACAAAATCACCCTTAACTGAAAGTCTTTTGTAACAAGCGTTCTAATTTGAAAAGAGTAAAATCCTTTTTATAAAAGATGCTTCACACAGCAGTCTGACAGTAACTTCTAGCACAGAGACCAATAGTGACAATAGCCAAAACATAAAATGAAGAACAGATACACAGACGGGGGCTTTCAAAACTGCAATTTAGTCACCTAAATCATAGAATCATAGAATTGCTGAGGTTGGAAGGGACCTTTAAGATCATCAAGTCCAACCATTAACCTACCCTGACAAAACCACCTCTAAACCATGTCCCCAAGTACCACATCTACCCTATTTTTAAACACCTCCAGGGATGGCGAATCCACCCCCTCCCTGGGCAGCCTATTCCAATGTTTAATAACCCTTTCAGTGAAAAAATGTTTCCTAATATCCAATCTAAACCTCCCCTGACATAACTTGAACCCATTTCCTCTTGTCCTATCACTTCTCACCAGGGAGAAGAGGTCAGCCCCCACGTCTCTACAACCTCCTTTCAGGAAGTTGTAGAGGGTGATTAGGTCTCCCCTCAGCCTCCAGGCTAAACAACCCCAGTTCCCTCAGTCGTTCCTCATAAGACTTGTCCTCCAGACCCCTCACCAGCTTTGTAGCCCTTCTCTGGACACGCTCCAACACCTCAATGTCCTTCCTGTAGTGAGGGGCCCAAAACTGAACACAGTACTCGAGGTGGGGTCTCACCAGTGCTGAGTACAGGGGTATGATCACTTCCCTAGTCCTGCTCACCACACTATTCCTGACACAGGCTAGGATGCCATTGGCCTTCTTGGCCACCTGGGCACACTGCTGGCTCATATTCAGCCAGCCGACCACCAACACCCCCAGGTCCTTTTCTGCTGAGCAGCTTTCAAGCCACTCTGCCCCAAGCCTGCAGCACTGCATGGGGTTGTTGTGACCCATGTGCAGGACCCGGCACTTGGCCTTGTTGAACCTTGTTGAATGAGAAACCTGCGATTTCAGAGAGCTGAGTACCCAGCACCCTCAAGAGAAATCAAAGAAAATGATGGAGCAGCCAGTACTCACACAAGCTAGTGTACTAGAGTACTTGTTTAGGGGACAACAGCTACATTTGGCTATTTCTTCATAATCATTAAAATCTTGCTCAGAGCTCCAACCTCTGCTCAATATGCTGCGTCCACCATATTGACAGCCTGATGTCATGTATAGCTAATATACTGGTAAATCTCAAAAAAAGTGTTATACTAAGAAATTATGTTGTCTTCCACATTTCTTTGTCTAATTTCTAGCTATTTCATCATGATATTGAGCTCACCCAGCAAATCTGTGCTTTTTTTTTTTTTTTTTTAGAACAAAGTCTGCCTGGTAAGCATACTTAATTTCTTGGCTTTGATTAATAAATAGATAGCCTTCTGTTTAAGTAAAGTCTTCTGTTTACACCATTAGTAGACCTGTAGGACATCTACCTGTCCACTGAAACCATCATATCCTTTACATTCTGAAGGCCATTAAAATTAATTTGATGGCAAATACAATAGAACAGTGGAAAAATAATTACAGGAGTTAAATCTAGGTAGGACTCCAGTTTCTTCTTCAAAGGCACAGTTTCTTCCTGCAGTCTAGCTGGTTCCTGTGAAAAGAGCAAGGCAGATTATATTCTATAGTCTTAATTGTAGAAGTGATATAAATTGATGAAATAGGTCGACAATTACCTACAGCACTTCAGAATTCACAGATGTTGGTGAGAGCTTTCATGATCCTTCTTAAAACCCATGGAAAACTAAAGATCTGCTATTAATCCAGTTATCAGTCAGTCAAACTCAGGTCAAATTTTACACAGAGGTATCAATTAATTTTTTTTTGCTCTGAAGACACCTTCAGATACCTTTCCTTACAGTATAACCACCTGATCTCACCTCCCTGAAAGGAGAGGGGATTTCAAATGAGAATCCACCAGACAGAGGACTTTTGCTGTCAACCTCACTGTAGGCCAGAGAGAGAACTGAGCCCCAAGGAAGGGGATGCATTCTCATGCCTAAGGCATCTGTGTGAAAACAGTTTTGCACAGGCAGCAGCAAAGACTCCCCTTACACTTGCACTGCTTTGCTCATTTGTTAACAAGGGGAAATAATTTCTCTTTGGGGCTGAAATTTGAGCACCTTCCACAGTCCTCAACTCTTTCCAGATAATCAACTTAAAGTAAAAGAAAAAATGCACTCAATACAAAGTCATTTGTGCTGCCCAATTCACTGAGCTCTTGGCAAAGCAGATGTAGAAATGTCAGGTAGTCAAACCTGCCCTTATGCTCAGGTTCTAGGAGATGACAAATCTATAAAATTGCCTATGACTTTTTGTATGTAAAATGCCAACAGAAATTATTTGTGGTTAGTACTCTTCTGAAACACGGTGCAATGTAAACATTGCCACCCAGTGCTGGTTCATGAGAACGACAACATAAAAATCAGGAAACCTATTTTCATTGTTCAACTTAACTAACATGCAGGAAAAGCTAGCAAAAGAAATTATGAGAAAGACTAAGTTCTCATTATAGTAATAGCAAATAATATTAAAGTGTGGTGAGTGCAGACAGAACAACACAAATAAATGTTACATGTGTACAAACACTTCAGCACAAAGCTGGAAAAATCTATAGCTAGTAACTCAAGAAATGTGCTTTTCCCTTTAACAAATTATCCTGCTGGGCTTAAAATACAGCTGAAAAATGTTATATTTAAAGATACAAGAAAAAAGTGCACAATGGTTCAGAATTTGGGTTTCACTTGACCTCCTCCCCTTGCTCCAAAGTGTTTGAAAGCAGATTTATTTCACACAAACCAGAAAGAATCACCTGGGTCACTCAATAATTTCAATGCACAGGTAGCCATGTAACAGGATATAGTCCACAGGATATCCACTCTGTTTATGACATGGATCACAAAAAGAGGAGGCAGATCACAGACTGCCAATTTTCTTTTGGTGGCAGGAGATTTATTCCATGGAAATTCTCTAGTAGGCTATATTCCCAATTATAGACGTATGTAGAAAGAGAAGAGAGGGAAAAACAAAAGGCAACAAAAATAAAAGATTCCAATCGTTGCCCTCAATCAGTCCAGAAGGAAAGCTTCTTCCCAAGTCCAAAATAAGCCCATATCTAACCCTGAATAAAAGGTACTACTTCAGCACCCATAGATGCTTCTCAGTTTCTAGGAGAGGCAAACCCATCCAACATAACCCAGTTCAGAGGTATCCACTATGGGATTTTTATTTGTGCTTCTTTTTACCATTAATATTTGTTCAGGTAATCAAATGGCAAACTACATTTCCTAAAACCACCCAACAAACAAGACTGGTCTGTACCACTGTAGAAATATCCATCTTGGACCAAAAGACCTACCTCAGACAGGCTCACAAGTGACTCGTGTCAGCAACCGGTCCAACCCCGTGGCAGCAAGCTGCTCCTACAAATAGGAAAGAGCTCATTCATAACTGATCGCAAAAATATAACAGGGAGAAGAACGATTTTGCCATTTCCTTGGGTTTTGATCTAAACAGCCAAACAAGAAAAAAAATTGTCAACAACAGAAATGTGTGCTATTTGAACCACAGCTATAGCTGGTATATGAAATCAGTTGCTCCTAAAATTTATATCAAGAATAACAAGTCTTTCCAGGAAACTAGTAGGGGAAGAGCACATGGCAAGGCTGGGAACAGGCTTCTCAGTAAAATGTCATCAACTCTCATACCACGTTTTCTGTCTCATATTTGTCAAGGTATTTAATACTTGAATACTGTCCAATAAAGAATTCACATGTCCATCATATAGAAAAGGTGAAGGAGAAGACAGTACAACTTCTGCCTCCTGTGTTTAATCATTCATTAATTTAAAAAAATGGCTATATTTAGAATTTTGACACACAATTTACCTCAGTGAATCAGCTGCTCTACTGATAGCTGTCTGTATACTCTTATATGACAGTACCTCACAACAAGCACAAGATAGTCCGAGCTAATACAGTTCTCAGTGAAAGAAGAAAAAGTGTCCTTTCATATATCATAGGATGTCCTGGGGAGAGACCATGAATATAGCAGGAACAACTGAAGTGTAGTAACATGTTTTCTTGTTAGACCAAGAGCCCTCAGTCCAGGACTTTAGGAAGCTCCTGGGATGCCTCTGTAACCACAATTTTGGGCCTGACGATGCCATGATGACTGGGCCATCTCATCACAATGTCTTGTTAGAAAATTCCTTCCATCTACCTCAACAGCCTTGATCATGATTTTTAAATCCTTAGATTTATCTTTCAGGAACTTCAAGTTTTGGGATCGGCTGTCAGCTTTGGCCTTTTCTACTTCCAGAAGTTCCTCTGTTTTTTTAAGATCCCTTAAAAAAATACAAAAATAAACAAACTTATACATTCAAAGAGATATCAGTATACAAATACTGCTTAATTATCTATGGTCAAGTCAAACCCTATAACACAACCAACACCAGAAGGTAGAGAATGGAGAAAAACTTGCATTTCCCTGTGAGATTTCCCCAGTGGAAACATCCAGAGCTGTTACATCCAGACTCGCAAAAGGCGGGGGGAGGGGGAGGCCAAGGGGAAAGCCATCTGCATAAAAGCACAGAGTAAGTGTCTTCTGCATAATTCCCTAATTCAATTAGGGACCTGTTACACAAGCTAAACGTGAGATCACAGAGAGGGGCTGTCAGGGACTGAGGCAAAAGAAGGGTTAAGTGTGGTAGAACTAATAGGGAGGAATAAGCAGCTGCAGCACTGTTCTGGCAGATGATGAAGCTGTGTGAAGCTACTCCCTAGATAAGGAGGTGCTGCTCACAGGGAAGAGAGATTCCCTTCTCAGTGGGAACATGATCTTTTAGAGTATGTGATGGTGTAAATAAGTAAAGTAGAAAATTACTGGCCTTGGTAGAAAAGTATATAAAGAACACGCTTGCTTAATAAAGGAGATTTTGATCCTGCATATAGGAGTCCATGCCTTAATCCTCACCAACGGCGCCCTAACAGGGACCTGGAGAAAAACCATGAAGCGGTACCGGTGAGGAGCCCGGCTGAACCCCAAAAGAGCTGCGCAGTGACAATCAATTATCTGAAAGAAGAGGTAAGCAGCCGGGAACATGGGAAATTCTATATCGCCTGAGCACAAATCTGTGTTCAAGGTGCTCAAAACCTTTTTAGCAAAATGAGATGTAGCTATAAAAGAAGAAAAACTTAAGGAACCTTTAGTATGGGTCTCTGCACATGTCCCTGAAGCCAACTCAAGTAATATCTATAGTAAGAGTACTTGGGACACAATTGGGGTACAGCTCGGGAATGCGGCCACAACGAGTGACGTGGCAGCACCTCTGTTATTATCTACCTGGCGACTGGTGTTTGATGCATTAGATAAAAATACTCAAGATCTAGCCTCGCAACCCTCGGCGCCTGTGCAACCTTCTGCACCTGCTGTGTCAAATT